GGGGGGCGGGGGAACCCGGGGAGCCCCAGGAGCCAGGTCTAAGGACCCCGGAGGGCCGCCGAAACTCGAGGAGCTGGCTTTGGCTGGGAGCTGGAAGGGAAATCTGGGGAACCCGCCTGCCGCTTGGCGAGCAAGGGCGCGGCGGGAGGATCAGCACCGCGGACAGCGCCCAGACAGGCAGGCCGGCATCCGCTGGGCCCCTCTGCCTACTCCCCGGCATAGGAACCACAGACAGTGCCCCCACTGGCCCAGGGAAGAGTTGGGTGGGAGGTGAGCTGACCAGGGGTCAGGAAACCTACCTTGTGCCTAGTTGGCAGCAAAGCTGCCCCAGGCCTCTCACTAGCTGTATGACCTTGGGTACATCCCATCACCTCTCTGGGTCCCAGTTGATAAAACACCCTCTTTCTCTACGTGAAGGTACCAAGACCCAAGAGGAGAAGCTTTAAAAACGCTGAAGCCCAGCCCTACCCGGCTTGGTTCAGTGAGTAGAGCGTCAGCCTGCGGACTGAAGGGTCCCAGGATTGATTCCAGCCAAGGGCACATGCCTGGGTTGCCGCTGGATCCCCAGAGGGGGGCCTGCAGGAGGCAGTCAATCAATGATTCTCTCTCATCATTAATGCTTTTATCTCTCTCTCCTTCTCTCTTCCCCTCTGAAATCAATAAAGAAAAATATTTTTAAAAAGACCTCTGAAGTCCAGAACGTTGGCGTTGATCCTTTTTCACTGCACATGGAATGCTTCTAAAACCAGGCTGCTTGGCTTCTAATTCTGGCTCTGTCAATACCTTCCTCCTCCCTGGGCCTCAGTCTCCTCATCCATAAAATGGGATAATGATGGTCTATGCAGCTCATGATATCTTTGGGTTGTTGTGAGGATTAAATGAGTTTATAGTAAAATGCTTAAAACATGCTGAGTTCTCATTAGGCATCCGTGCTCATAATAGCAAGACATCAGGTGACATTGTGTGAGTGGCTAGTGGCTCAGAGCTCCCCCTGGGTAAGTCATTTCAGGGAAAAGCACCGTTGGACTCTGCCAACAGAATCTTTTTGTGAGTGTCATGAGGTTAGAATGAAAGGGTTTTGTAAAGTGCATGCGAATGGGATTGTTATGACTAAGCCCCAACTGTTATTCTCCTTGATCTGTCTCAAGATGGGTCCTGGGACTCCGGCTTTTCACCACCTAAAGAAAACAACTCCAGATGCCTGTCTGAGGGGTGGCCCTGCCTGTTCTTGGGAGAGGGTCCAGCCTGGCCACAGAAGAGCTCTCAGGTGGGCATGACAGGCCTGGCCTCTGGGGCTGCCCTCGGGACTCTTGCAACGTCTTTGGCCGAAAAAATATTCACAGGTGAAACAACAAAAAGATGTGCACAAATTACTCATAGAACCACTAAAATCGATGAGCCTGCAGAGTTGAGAGATGACCCTGTGAAGGCAGGGCTAGGGAATGGACTGGGGGGCCAGGAGACTAAAGGGTACCTCCGTAGAGGAGGTTAACAATCAGTCAGTCAACACGCAGAGTTATATTGAACAAGACTGACCACATGGCACTCTACCTGAAGTTGTGGGGAGACCCAGAGACACATTATAAAACATGGAGATGATGACAATAAGAATTAACATTTATCAAGTACTTTCTTTGTACCAGGCAATCTATTGACTATTGTTAAAACATCTCCCCCCCATTTTCAACATTAAACTTATAACAAAGTCAATACAAACTAAAATGTATAATAAGTATATATCTCACTTCAGAAGTAACCATTATTTTGAGTTGAGCACTTTACCCATTTCATCTCAGAGAAACTTCAGAGAAACCCTATTGGAAATTTAACACCACCCACTTTGTAAGCAGTGGAGCCAGGATTCAAATCCCAGTCCAGTCTAAGTCTGAGGTGAGCTTCATCAGGTCCCTCAGCGAAGAGATGAATCTACTTGTGGCAGAAAACACCCATGAGCTTTACAGGAAGGTAAGAGCCATGAATACCAGTTAAGAGAGTGAGTTTGGTTTGACAGAGAAGGCCTCGAGGCTCCCTCCATCTCTTCATGATAGCTTGGAATACTGACTTTTTTTTTTTACTCCGGAACTTGTTATTGGAGAACCACCTTAAAACCAACTGCTCTAGCCTCCCCCCGCCCCCCTTTTTTTTTTTTACTCCTCACCTGAGAATATTTTTCCATTAATTTTTAGAGAAAGTGAAAGAGAGAAGGACAGACAGAGAGAAACATCAATGTGAGAGAAGCACATCGATTGGTTGCCTCCTGCGTGCACCCTGACCAGGGCCCTGGCTGGGGAGGAGTCTACAACTGAGGTACGTGCCTTTGGCCAGAATCAAACCCAGGACCCTTAGATCCGCAGGCCAACACTCTGTCCACTGAACCAAACCAGCTAGGGCGGAATACTGACTAAAAAAAATATTTATTTTTTTATTAATTTCAGAGAGGAAGGGAGAGAGAGATAGAAACATCAATGATGAGAGAGAATGATTGATTTGCTGCCTCCTGCACAATCCACGCTGGGTATTGAGCCTGCAATCTGGGCATGTGCCCTGACCAGGAAGGGAACTGTGGCCTTCTGGTTCTTGGGTCGGTGCTCAATCACTTGGCCACACCAGCCGGGCTCTTCCAGATTTTTCAACGAATATATGAATGTACTTGTTCTATTTGGTAAATTTTTTTCACTTTAAAATATGTCCTTTTTAAAAAAAATTGAGATATAATTGACATAGTGTCAAGTGTATAACACAATGATTCGATATTTGTAATATGTCATGAAATGATCACTACAGTAAGTCTTGTTAACATCCATCACTATAAGTAGTTAAAAATGTTTTTCTTGTGATCTGCTCTCTTAACAACTTTCAGTTATGCCAGGTAGTATTATTAACTATAGTCACCATGCTTACAACAAAATATATCTCGATTTTTTCATGCCAATAAAGTCTTTCTTAGTAGCTGTATTATATCGCATCATATGGACAAGCTTCTTTTTAAAAAATGTAAACATTTTTAGTTGATTTTTTAGAGAGAGGAAGGTAGGAAAAGAGAGAGAGAGAGAGAGAGAGAGAGAGATTTGTTGTTCCATTTATCTATGCATTCATTGGTTGATTCTTGTGTGTGCCCTGACCAGGGATGGAACCTGCAACCCTGGAGCATCAGGACAACAACCCAACCACCTAAGCCACGCGGCCAGGGCTGGACAAGCTTCGTTACTTAACTAATCTCCAATTTGACTTCTGTGTTGTTCCCAGTTTTATTCTATCGAAAACAATGCTGCAGTGGACATTCTTCTCCAGAAACCGCTTTTCACATTTCTAATTATGTTCTTAGGATGAATTTCAAGGAGAGAAATCAAGAGACATGCACATTTGATGGCTTTTCATCATAGTGTCAAATGGCCATGCACGAGGTTGATCAATTTATTCTCCAAGCTCACTCACAATTAAGAGTGTCCACTTTCCTTCTCCATACAAACCTATGTGGGGGTAGTTAAAAACAATCAACGGGCCCAGCCAGCATGGCTCAGTGGTTGAGCGTCGACCTGTGGACCAGGAGGTCATGGTTTGATTCCCTGTCAGGACACATGCCCGGATTATGAGCTCGCTCTCCAATGTGGGGCGTGCAGGAGGCAGCCGATCAATGATTCTCTCTCATTATTGATGTTTCTGTCTCCCTCACCCTCTCCTTTCCTCTTTGGAATCAATAAAAATGTATACAAACAAACAAACAAACAAACACAAAACAGCCCTAGCTGGTTTGGCTCAGTGGATAGAGCATCGGCCTGTGGACTGAAGGATCCCAGGTTCGATTCCAGTCAAAGGCACATGCCCCGGTTTCAGGCTCCATCCCCAGTGGGGGGCGTGCAGGAGGCAGCCGATCAATGATTCTGTCTCATCATTGGTGTTTCTATCTCTCCCTCTCCCTTTCTTTCTGAAATCAATAAAAATATATTAAACACACACACACTCTATAATTCCAAATTTGACAAGTAAAAAACAACACAGTTAACGTTTCAAGTGTGAACACTGGGGAGGGCACCTATGGATATAACGACAAATGTCCGTGCTCCCGGGAATGGCCACAGACCCCAGGAAGAAGGTAAGCTCCCAGGTCTTCACTTTGGGGCCAGGTTCTGTCCTCTCTGCCTAGGTTTCCCTCTTGCAAAGGATGTGGGCTGTCCTGGTATTGGAAGCAAGTGAATTGGAAGGACAATGTTCAGACAAATGTTCATACTAACAAACTTTTCTAAAACTCAGCTCCTTCAAACCAGGCTTGACACGCGTGGTCCCAAGGCATCCTGGGTCCCAGGCTGGTGTCTGCGATACTGCAGGAATGAATGGGTTCCTGGGGTGCAGTGGGCTGAAGGCTTGGGAGGAGCTGGTCCTAGTATTGGCAGCGAGCCCCTCCAATGCCATTCTGTTTTAAATATTGTCACCTTAACATGTTTTAACAATCTGTGGGGCGCATCAGTCTTTATTTTAAGCATTTAGAGTAGTTTAGTTTGTACGCATAACTTTCTAGGGAGGCGGAACGGGTGTCCCAGGGAGTAAGGCAGAGGCGGAGTAAGTAGATCGCCTCCAGTCACTCAGCAAGTCAGGCGCCCCTCACGGTGGAACCTGGAGAACCTGACTCCGCGCCCAGGGCTCCAGACACCAGCTCTTCTGCGCCCCCCATCAGCGGGGCCCCGGGGGCCGGGGGGGAGGGGGAGGCAGGGAGAGGGTGGAAGGTGGTCGT